GTAGTATGGAATGCGCCAGTGTGCCGTGGGCCGTGCGGCGGCCATTGGGGGGTTCGGAACCGGCGGCCGCCATATGCGCCCGAGGCTACGTTATGGTACCACGCTGGCAAATCAGCCAATCAGCGCTGGGACAGGGTAAGAATGAGATCGTATTTGAGTGTATGCCCTATGCGTGCGCTTAAATTTTGTATTTCTTATTAGAAAGGGTTAGAACTCTTTGCAATTGTTAATTTCAGAAACTATAATCTTTTCTGAATTCGACAGTGTAAACGGCTCGTCCGAGGTGCGTGGCTGGTGCGGCCGGAAAATTTTCAAAGAAAGCCTACTTTTTTGTGCAAATTCACATTGCAAATTGGCCATTTCGAGTGTGTGCTAGCAAATTATTGTTTACAAGAAAAATTATGGAAGAATTTCTTAGTTAATAACATATATGGTGTCACTTGCGACGTTAATTCAGAGGATGGTATTGTGATTTGTAAAAATAACTTCTGCTGATTTATGAGAATTTTTTCGTAAGTATGGCCGCCTATGGAAAATGATTTCCCAGTGTGTCCTTATCGCGCCACGCACGCAGGTCAAAGGTTGCACACTGCGCGCGGAAAACCATGTTTCTGCTCAAACTATACTTGTATCGTTCGCTGACCAACTACTAGTATAGTGTTGGTTTAGCAAACTAGTGTGGGGGGAATTGTGGTTCGGTGGCGCGCGAATCCTGTTTGTAGGAAAAATGTACACGTGTTTCTGTAAAGTAAGATAAGGTTTTCATAAATAAAATTTTGGCGGCGTTACAATGTGTATGGTTGGCGGAAAATATGGTGTGTGTCTGTAAACCAACATATGGTTGGACTAAATTGACAAACCGTACACCATACAGGTCCGACCAAGGCAGGACGGCGAGGCAGTACGTAGCTCGAAAAACACCAGAGTGAAATGAAACAATTAAAGTGTTTAAATTTATTTATACAGATCAGAACTTTTATTTACGCGGTTATAAGTATAACATAGGCTGAGAATATCTATACGTTAACGTTTATGTCAATTTATGTTAACATAGCTGTATATAGCTTAATTATATCTATGATCTATGTCTAAAATCCTGTAGTTTCCTGACGACGATCGATGCGTTGTTTGTTTCTCGTCGGTTGATGCCGTTGTTCATTCGTATTGATTGAAGCGCGGGTCGTTCAGATCGTTTGATGCTTTGCTCCTCGAATCGTTTGACGCGAATTGCTTCTCGAATATGTTGATGCGATGTTCGAATCATCACCAAGACTTCCATTTATTCGTTATACCTTCCCTGTACATGTGTCGGTGTCCTTGTCTGCATTACATTGCATATCATTTATCTGGAATTTGTTTGATTTGTTTTGTATCATTTCTGTACCTGCATCGATTCACCTAGCTTACGCTTGGTTGCGCGTGCAGGCAGAGCTATATGAGTAGTGTAGTGTAGTATAAGTGTAAACCAGTGTATATAAAATTGTAGTATAAGTGTAGTATATACCAGTAGGTACATATAGAAAGTAATGTGCTGCCACCGCACGATACAGGGTCCAAAGGACGCGTGGAGAGATGGAGCTATTCGGACAAACAGATACAGCAACACACATGCAAGGCAAAACTAAAAACTAAAACCACATGCAAGGCAACAAACAGCAATCACTACACAAGTCCGTACGAAAATTCACACAGCGTAGACCACGCGAAGGTAGCAAGGCGATTCTACCACGAAGAGTCACGATAGAGGAGTCGTTATAGAGTATCATTCACCAACAATAACATGGGGCAGTACAGATCACACAGACTAGAATACAGAATAATGAGTATGAAGCTCTCGTTCTCTCGCTCTCTCTCTTCCTTAATTACTCACTCACTTACTCGGTCGCTCTTTTCCTGGCCTCCCTTTAGCTCCCCCGGGAAATTATTACTAATTAAAG